TTGACACCAGAGATTATCTTTTGCCTCTCTTTGTACCCCCAGTGCACAATACCTGGCACATAATAGGTGCTTAATAAATGCATATTGACTTACTATTACCTCCCACAAAGGTGTTGGCAATCATGTAGCCACCAACACTGATTATAGATTCAGAAAGGCTTGAGTTTGAGACCAGTCTATACCACAGCTGATAACACTGAGTAAACAATTTAACTTCTTTGGGCTTCATTTTGCTCATCTGTAAAGTGAGATTATTTAGATTAATGCTAAAATGGAAGCTCCTTGAGGCAAGGACTATTTTCTTTTTGTTTTTGTAGTCCCAGAGCCCAGCACCGTAGCCTGTTGCTAGCAGGCTATTAATAAATGCTTCTTGAGGGAGTTTCATTACCTACCTCACAGGATGGTTGTGAAGATCTAAGAAGATTATGTTCTTAAAGTAAATTATAAATTGCTAAGCAGTTTCCAAAAGTAAGATATATAAGGTATAAACCTAATCTGTGCATAAGGCAGATAATAGGATTAATGACCTTTGGACCTAAATCCCAGACTTCAATAGCTAGTTTTTAGCCTTGAAACCCTATAAAATTCCTAATAGATTCATGACACACAGGGATCTTTCCTTGATTCCATAATGTTTCACATTCTAGAGAAGGTTCAAGGCAGAGACAGCATATTTATCAAATTGCCAAATGACACAAAGCTAGGAGGAGATAGACAGTCAGAAGCCAAAAATTATGTCAGACAGGCTAGAATGTGGGCTAAAATTTAATAGGGGTATGTGAAGGTTGTTGTTGTTGTTTTTAATTAGACGTTGCTAGAAAACAATTCACCTGAAAAAGATCTGAGGTTTATAGTGGAAAGCACTCTCAAAGTGAGACAACAATGCAACACTCAAAAGCTCAAGTGGAATTGTAAGCTTATCAATGTATATATATATATATTTGCCGACCCAATAGATCCCAATCCATCCATTCCTGTGAAAATCTTTACCTCATAAATTTCCCATGGACATTCCACTCATTGTGTCTAGGTTCTTCCTTAGTTTATCTGATATCCCAATGATACCAATCAAGTATTTAGTTTTAACATTAGTTGTCTCTCTCACCACATAACCAACTAATTTTTTTCAAATGCACAGTTCTTTGATGATAATCTTTAAACTATTAATCCATTATGATTCCTTATTTATAATGTGTTATAGATTTCATCCAACAACCATATATCTCTTCCTTGCCCATTGATTGATCCTCAAATTCAATTCTTTATAGATGATGTTATTCTATCACTCACAACTATAAGCTATCGCCATAAGAATATGAGTGTTATATTGCCAGGAATGGACGTCAAAGTTACTAATTAAATGTAAGGATTCTGTTCTTTTCCTTTAAAAAATTTGGGACATTTGCTCATTTCTTTTCTCCTAGGAAATGTGTTTTTCAAAGATCAGTGAAAGTAACTCAACCACAGCTATCAGTTCTTTTGGAACATTGGGATGTAGTGGGTCCAGCTCTGGAGACTTGGACTCCTTAAGGATAGCTGTGTCTTCTACAATCTGTCTTACCATTTCTTTACTTACATTGGGTTTTATTCCTTGATAATCACTTTTATTCTATTCTTCACAATCTGGATTATTTATTTTGGTAGAGATGATGGAAATAAAGCAATTCCACCTTCTCTCTGTTGCCCATTGTCTTTATTCCACCTAGAGTGGTCCAGTTTTTTTTTAATCTGCATTCTTATTGCTCCAAACATAGCTTTAAAAAAAGCTTTTTAAAGGTTATTCTTCATTTATATTAATCAAAAAATGACTTTTAAATGCCTCTTGAAAAAATGCAATCTCCTTTCCTTTTTTAAAAGGGTGACTAGGGGACAGCTAGGTGGCACAGTGGATACAGCCTTGTGTCAGGAGGACCTGAGTTCAAATCCGGCCTCAGACCAAACACTTGACACTTACTAGCTGTGTGACCCTGAGCAAGTCACTTAATCCCAACTGCCTAAAAACAAACAAACAAACAAACAAATAAATAACCGTGTAAACAAACAAACAAATAAATAAAAGGGTGACTAAATTGATAGATGAGGATAATACATGGCATAAATCATTTGACAAGCTCTTGATCATAAAATTTTAGACCATCAACAATCTAGGTCCAACTTCCCTTTCAATTTTTATTACACTATTCTCTATCACATACTTCATGCCTCAGATGGATTGGACTATTGTCAGTCTTTATTTACTCCCTATCCTGTAGGCTGACTTTAGACCAATGGGATGCATTGGTGTGATAAGAAGTTTCAATAACAATTGAGTCTGGCAACACATCCCAAATCAGTATTCCTGGGGATTCTTTTTCCCCTGCTCTCATTTGATTCTGGATGCGATTCAGCCACAGTAATGAATTTAATTTGAAGGATAACCCCAAAGGCAATCTAATATGATCCAGTCTAATCTAATCCAATTCAATATGATAAACATTTATTAAGTGTCTAATATGTGAGTAGCATTGTGCTAGGCCCTGGGGACATCATATTTCAGTACTCCAAAGGAGATTGAGTACATTCATTGATGTGTATGCTCACTCTAGTGCTGGAAATTTACCACACATGTTCCACCCAAAGTATTGGAGACCTTCTACCATCCCTACCTTAAACTATTTGTTTTCTACTTGGCAGATAGATATACCACAATAAACAGTTAAGTGCATGCATGATCATTTAAAGTTTAAGAAAAAACTTGCCATGGAAGACAGATCATGAACTGACCCTTAAAAAAAGGTTGCAGATTCTGAGAGATGAAGGGGAGGAGCATGTGCCTTCCAGGTATGGGGGACAATGGTGGGCCAACCTAAGGATTGGTAAATTGGCTATGAACCTTGAATATGTGAAAGGTAGTATTCAATAAAGCTGGAAAGACAGGCTGAGTTGTGAGCATGGAGATCTTTGAATGACAAACTGAAAGGCTGGTATTTGATTCTAAAAGCTCTAGGTAGCCACTGAAATTTCTCAAGCAGGGAGAAGATATGGTCAGACATTGCTTTAGCAGCTATGTGGGAGATGGATAGGGGAGAGGAGAGACTAGAAGCACAGGGATCAGTCAGGGGGGTGACACTATAGTTTAGGCAAAAACTGATGAGATGGATAAGTGGTAGCCATTTGAGTAGAGACAGAGGGGCAGATTTGAGACATGTGGAGGTAGAGTCAACAAGATCTTAGCAAATTATTAGCTATATGAGAGAAAGATGAATTGAGTCTGGCTCCCAGAAGGCAAACCTGAGGAACTAGAAAGAAGGTGGTACTCTTATCAGAAATAAGGCAGTCCAAACTTACAAGAAAGCAAAGGAAGTATGGACAGTTCTGAACACAATGCATAGTATTTATTATATAGGCTTTCTTGAAATGGAAATTTATTCTTGTATATTTTGAATTCTCTCTTACATTCTGATGTGCACATGGCAATGCTTTTTTTGGTTGTTATTTTGTATTTAAATTTTAATATTTAAGTTTAAAATATTTCTTTTTCTTTTTTATTGTGTATTTTAGTTTAAAATAAAAATATTTTGAAAAATTTTAAAAAAGAAATAAGGCAGTCCAGAGGCTATTTGAGTTTAGGGAGAAAGCTATTGAGTTTCAGTTTGGACATATTGAGTTGGAGATGCCTCCAGGATACCCAGTTAGAGATATCCAATGAGTGATTGGTTGCTAATACAGGACTGGAGCTCAGTGGAGAGAATAGGGCTAGATCCATAGATCTGGGGATCATCTACAAAAGCAATGGGAGTATAACCTTTACCAAGCCCATGAGAGAACAGGATAAAGGGGAGGAAAAACTCAGCTCTAAATCTAATTAAAACCTGTTCACTGGAACATTTAAGCCTTCATAAGACTCAGAATCTAGCTAATAGTGGTCATTTGTGATTATCCATTGTATCTGCCCAAGTGCCCATTTTGCCTCAAGAACTTAATTTCCCAGGCCATGTCTGATGTTCCACTGGAGTCCAGATTTACTAGTTTTCCCTCTTTCATCACCCCTCTTTCCCTCCTTTCATCCTTCCCTTATTACTCTTCTCTTTCCCCTTTCCCCCTCTTTTTCATTATCCCTCTAATTTAATTGTCCCTCTAAACCTCTTTCTCTCCATCCTTTTCCTTCCTTCCCTCTCCCTTCTCCCTTTTCTTTTTTACTTCCACTGATATTTAGCTCAATGTGAGTCAGCAGTAACCCCCTACACCGTGGAGGGTTAGGGACATGGTGCCTCCACAATCTGGAAAATCCACATAAAATGTTTTGGTCCTCACTTCCTGCCAGAGAAGAAGCCTGATTTTTTTCTTTTTCTTTTATGGGTTGTTTATAGTACCTTGTTGTAAAATTTGGGTTAAGTATTTGGTCATAAGCTCTGCGTTTTTTGCTGGCCTTCTTTGCCTCTCATCTGCAGCTTCTGCAAAACTCCCCCAGAATTCCCATTTAATTTCTTATGCCTACCCATGATATATCGAACCTTGATGGGGAAAGTCATGATGTGGAAGGGATAACTTTAATGTGGCAGCTAAGATGGCAAATATAATCTTAGACTGTATTAATTCAAATGTAGTGACCAGAGAGAAGGCAGAGATAGGCTCATTATATTCAGCCCTGGTCAGACCACATGTAGAATACCAGGCCCACCTCTAGGCACAATCTTTATGAAAATGTCCTTTCTATGCATCAGAATAACCTTAGGGGGAGTGAACAGGCACAGTTACGCAAAAGATTTTTCTGCAGCAAAATAAACCTATAGCATAAGCCCTCTTTCTTTATGATCAGTCACTAGTGGAGAAGGACTTGTTTACCATGCTGTGTGTATCTTCCAGATAACTGAACCTTATTCATCCTTAGCTATCTATTCTCCTAACTAATGAGTCCAACTTCCTTTTGCCTTCTTATGAATTTTATCTTTCAACTCATGCTCCAAAGACACACCCAGCTATACAAGAGTTTGGTTTGTAGCAAAGAAGCACACATCTTCCACTTTTAGGATTTATCTTTTTACTGTACAAAGAAACTTTACAGAATGAAGCCAAATGAAAATAACAGAGAAAGTCACCTAGGACTTGATAGAACAGTCATGCTTATAAATTTTTTTTTCATAATTACACCAGTACCGCATAGAGTAAATAGTCCCGTTCACCACCATAATGAATTGAGCACAAACTACAGCACATTTAATGTCATTGGTCTTATGGTGGCTTTTCTCTCTTTCTCATGTGTGTGTAAAGGACTGTAAATGCACTCTCATTTACTAGAAGATCTTAAAGTCACAGAAGAGAAATGTCACCTTTGGCCACTTCTATGATGGTTATTTGTACCCGAAATAAAACTTACAACCCTCTTAGTGGATTCACTATTGGGTTCTTTTTTTTTTTTGAGGGGAGGAGTCCAGATCTGTGATTTCATCAGTTTAAGAAACTCCTGGGGTGGAAATGCCCTCCACACATTCAGTCCAGCAACTTGTCTGGAATTTATATTCTTAGAAAATTCCCTGGGGCATGGAGAGGTTAGGCAATGTGCCCATATTCACACAACCAGCATATATCAGAGTCAGGACTTGGACCCAAGTTGTCTTGACTCCAACGCTGCTTCTTGATCCATGATACTGTGTCTGAAACCTTGCCATCTTTACAAAAGATGAAATTATTTTCAGGAGATATTATAAAGATTACATCTTATTAATACAAAATTAAACATATCAAAAATTTTTTTAAAAATAGATTACCAGGCAAACTACCAAGAGATACTGGTATAAATTATTCTTTAAAATGTATTCAGTTTTATAATCTTCTAGGAGGAGATCTTGATGGAAAGTGATGTTATTTTGATTTTCAGTTGACTAGGGATATTTATTTTACATATGTACAGAAAATGCTATTCTATGTACATGTCGAGGAACCACTCCAATCATTAGACTTCAGTGGATCAGTGAAAAACCTTACTTCACAGGTAGTAACTTTCCCTTTGGCTTCCTGCCTATAGGAAGAAAAGGAAAAGGCAGATGTTTCTCTCCCTGTGTTCACTACGTGCAGGAGGGAAAGTCTGAAGTCACAGCATGTTGTTTTCCCAGTGAAATGATGAGCAGTAATCAAGGGTCGACTGATAAATAATGTCTTTGGTTGAACCGACAGCTACACTTTTGATTTCAGGGCATCTACCAGGCTGTAGGAACCTTTGTGGTTGGCTTTTCTTGCAAAGTAGATGACCATTCCAGCGGCTGGGATTACCAGGGAAGATAAGCAGTATAGTGCAAGAAGTTGAGGAGAAAAATATTTAGGAATTTCTGGAAAAGAAAGAAAATCAATTGACATTGATTATTAAAATGGTAGTATCAAAAATAATGATAATAATTTTATATGGTAGTATCACAGGGATGTCACTTGTTAGAAGAGTATAGCTAGTTTCCCACTATAAAGTAAAGGGAAATAATGATTTAAACCAGTTTCTTAACCTCTGTGTGTGTCATGGACCCCTTTGAGTTATTGTAGAGTATGTATGGACCCCTTCTCAGAATAATTTTTTTTAAATTTATAATTGAAGGAAATGCCAAAGTTCAGTGAGATGTTAATTTCTTTCCTACCCATATTAGTAGACCCTCTGAAATCTATTCACAGAGCACAAGAACCCTGATCTAGACCACCTTGGCCTGAACCCCATACCCTTCTCAATTTACCAAACAATTAAGATGTATTATGTAATACATATACATACATACATACATACATACATACACACACATATGGTTTTGTGGACTGAGATTCAGACCACTGAATGAAATTTCTGCATGGTTTTGCCAACAGAGGCCCAGTCTATTTGTGTAACATTAGTGATTAGTTATAACAAGGGCAAAATGAGGATGCTTTCATGAATTGAGGGGATTTCATTGTACAATGGTATTGACTGTGGAATTTTAGCATCCATCTAAGAGAACACAAATGGATGGGGTGAGATATATAGTGTATATCTTCTGTATTCACTTCGATATTTGATATTAGACTAGACATACTCATTAGAGAACTAGGATTCAATCATCATGAACTGAGAAATACAATCAGAAATGCAGGAAGACAATCCACACATTTCAGCAGAGGCTATAAAACCTGTGTTCTTGAGCTATGGCCCATCTCTGAGAGAGATATGCATGGTATTTCAATATTTGTACTGTCTCTTCTAAAAATAAACTGACTTTCTTTTGCCGTCACCTACCATGTTGCCTTCCATGTTAGGTTACTCTGGCACCAAGATGCAGATAAATATGGTGCATGAAAGTATATAGAGAGCCAGGTTTGGGGTTAGGAAGGCCTTCATTTAAGTTTCTAACTCAGTTACTCTATGACCCTGGGCAAATCACATAAGCTGGCTGGTTACCCAAGCAACTCTCTAAAACTATCAATTTGCCAATGAATGATTGAACTTAGGGTTCTTGTAGTATAACACAGAGGTATCTAGATGGTACAGTGGATAGTGCACTGAACCTGGAGTCAGAAAGACCTGAGTTCAAATCCACCCTCAGACTCTTATTAGCTATGTGACTGAACAAGTTACTTAACTTGTCTGCCTTTGTCTGTCTCGTCTTTAAAATGGGGATGTTAATAGTGCCTACCTCTCAGGGTTATTGCAAAGATAAAGGAGTTAGTCTTTGTAAAGTGCTTTGCAAACATTAAAATGCTAGCTTTTATTATCGATCTCATTTTACTGATGAGTAAACTAAGACCCAGAGTGGTAAAATGATTTGTTTAGGGCAGGCAGCTAGGCGGCACAGCAGATAGAGTACTTGGTGTCAGGAAGAGCTGAATTCAAATCCTGCCTTAGATACTTTCTAATTGTGTGACCCTGGGCAAATCATTTAACCTTTGCCTGCCTCAGTTTGCTCATCTACAAAATAAGCATGCTGGACTTGATAGCCTCGAAGGTCTTCTCTAACTCTAAATGTATGATCCTCTGTTAAAATCATCCAGGTAATATTGAGATTTAAACTCAGTTTCCTCCCACTTGACTCCAAATCCATTGTTGTTGTGGTTGTTTTTAATTCATATCATAGTTGAATTTACTTTTATATGCACTCTATCTCTAGCCTACTTTTTATAATTACTCAGTTGCTCCCTCATGTAATCTTAAGGATTGGCTGGTGAGAGATAAGCTAACATTATAAAAAATATCTAAAGACATTTATGTCCATTTGAACTTACTTTTAAATCTTAAATACTAGTCAAGTGACTCCTCAAAGAATAGGAAAAATTTCATCCTACATTACACCTAATTGTCCCATTAACTGCCTCAATTCTCCACTTGTCTTTTTGCTAAGGTAGGCCAAACACTGTATCGTACAGAAGCACAAAGGGTGAGAGCATTCTTCTAAGCTTCCTTTGAGTTTGCCAAACATTTTTTTTAATGTCTTTTTAAAATTTATTTTTAATATTCTTTTTTAAATTTTGAGTTCAAATTCTCTCCTTCCCTCCAACTCCTTCCCCACTTACTGAGAAGGCAAGCACCATGATACCCATTATACATGAAAGTCCAAACATCATTCTTTGATTCTCTTTTCATTTTCCTTCCTTCCTTCCAAGTACATGCACCCATATCCCATAACTATACTCCAAAGGAGCAGCTGTGTCTATTACCAGAACAACTTTAGAATGTCATGTTCCATCAACTTGACAAGCAAAAGAAAGTTTAAAAGCTTGTGAACATTCATTTTCTAATATTTCCAATTTACTGTCATAGACCACATAACCAATCAAATTGAATTGGCAACATGCAAGTTATTCACATGACCTGGGCAATGCAAGAGACAAAAACTATTTTGCCCAAGTTATTTGCATCATCTAACTCCAAGTATTTTAAGACAAATTAAATTTGGAGCCTGAATTACACAGATGATCAAGAATACCTCATTTAAGAATGACAAACCTGATAATTAGATAAAGCAATTAGGAAAGGAGACAACATAAGAAAGAAAGATAATCTAAAAGTGGGCAGCATTAGGCCATGTCTTTAAGTGAGAAATATTGACTATAGGAAGCAAAAGAAAAATTGTAAACATTTTAGGAGCTCAATTAAATGGAGTCTCTGTGGAGTTAAAGATGGCCTGGGTGTTAAGGAAAAAAGAAAACAATAAGGAATGAAGTAAAATCCTCCTACCCATAACTGAGATCTCAATCTGTCCAGAGTCATTTCCAACCTCATTGGAAACATCAATTATATATACCCCTGTGTCATCAGGAGTGACGTGATATAAGGTAAATGTTCCATTCTTTGAACACATAGTCACTTCATTGTCCACATCAACTTTTTTGAGGACAATCACTGCAGGAGGATGACTAAAAGTTTTACATGTAATGGTGACATTTTCCCCTTCAAGAACAGTTCTAGATGGATGGATGGATATTGTTGTGTTTCGAGGAGGTACTGTGAAGACAGAAAATATGGAGTAAGGTTGGCTACAAGTCCATAGAGATTTAGTCAAGTTTATAAAAAAAAATTTCTGTCTTTTCTGGGCTTATGTTTAATTTTCTTTCATAAAAAAATAGGTTGGTAATCATCATTTTCAAGAACCAGAGACAGCTGCTGCTACCAAAGTTTCATCATGGTTGGCATTTATTTTTAGTTATTTTTCATTAGAGCTAGAAACAGGCTTAGAAATCATTTTGTCCAGTCCTCATTTTACAGAAAAGTAAGCTGAGTCTAGGAGGGATTTAATAATTTGTTCATATTCAGGATTTGAAAGTAGGGCCTCTTACTCCAAATCCAGGGCACTTCCCACTTTATCATACTTCAAGCATTGATTCCTATTTGAAAGGAAACTCATTTAACATGCATGGAAAGGGCTGGACTGTCTCGCTTTAAAGACTTCTTCTCTGCTTTCCACAAGAACAGCAAGGCAAGTGTTTTTTATACTCTCAAGCTCAGGTTCAAAGCCTGCTTCTTTTCCAAGATCGCCAGCAGTGGTGGCATACAAAGTGTAGAGGCCCTCAAAAAACGATGGCAACAACTACTCATTCTGGATTTAGAACATCTCAGATTCACTTGGTACTGCATAACAAGCAGGCAGGCGGTTTTAACTAGACTCATTAACTAGCTCATCAGGTTTTGAATTATATTTCTTCTGATCCTTCCTTCATGTGACCCTGATCTATAGAAGGTTACATGGGAATCTTTAAGTGAGGAAAATACGATTCACTTCATGGAATGGGGTTTTGTGTCATCCTGCATGCTTGAGACAGATTTGCTTAATAATTAATTTGCTCATTTTCAATGCCAGGAGGTGAGAAAACTGACAGAGGCAGAAGGGAGAATGTTAGAACCTGGAGTCAGGAAGAATTACTAGCTCTGTGACTCTGCACAAATCTCTCAAACTTTCTGAGCCTCAGTTTCCTCATCTGTCAAATGAGGGGGTTGGAACAAATGACCCTTCAAGCTTTCAATCTATGATCCTATGAAAAAGAGGTTCACATCCCCAGCTTATGGGGAGTCAATGCACATACATGGAAAGGTCAATGATTGTGGTTTCTCTGTAGTCTACCCTTCTTTCCTTCCCATCAGAATAAGTTTGGATAACCTCAACAGGCCAAGATGGAACTGAAATCTTTGAGGGAACATTTTGACAGTCTGGCATATCCTTTCTATGGTGCATGAATTCTCTCCGCAAGGGACCACGGTAATTATCCTGAAAGGAGTCACTCCGGAAAAATAGTTACTATGCATTCAGAGAAAGGTATTCTCCACCGTAAGCAAGGAAGAGGGGTCCTTTGGATCTAAACTCTTCCCTCTTTCTTTTCCAGTTGACAGCTTTGCTAGGCCTGGTCAAACACTTGGCCATTGCAAGACCTGGGAGACCAAGGATGCATTTATACAAGACTCTAGGGTGGAAAAAAACAGATGACAATCCCTTGCTCACCAATGATTTATTCTAACTCTCTGGCAATCCTCCATATTATATAACAGATGTACTTCATTATTCTGGGAAATTTTATGAAGTAACCAAAAAAAATATGGAATTGAGCTCCACTCTACCCCCTTTCCACACACATTCCCTTAACATAAAACATCCTTTTGAAATATATGGAATTTTTTTTAAAAATGACAGTCAAAGAACTAACCTTTAACATCAAGCATAAGGCTCTTAACTTCTGAGCCACCCTCATTTTTAGATTCACATTCATACACTCCAGCATCCTCTAACTGAGCTGCATGTATGATATAAATGCCAGCTGTAGACTCAAGCTCTCTATCTCCCATCTCTGTTTTCTTCCTCAGGATAATTTGAGGCTTTGGAATATTCCCAGATGTGCAGGAAATATTAATCGAGTCTCCTTCCTTGACACTATCAGAAGGGAAAGCTGTAAGGCATGTGTCTTTGGGAGGCACTGCAAACAGAATGCAAAGGGCAAGAGTGAGAGTGCAGTTAATTCAATATGAGCTTAATGAAGCATGCACAAGATGCTAATTTGCATTGTTTGCCTGAACAGTTTTAGAGACAGGCAAGTAATGACATGGACATGTTTGCTGTAACTGATGGCCTGAGATATTTTCACTAAGGTGGGATTTGTTTCATCTTCAGCTAGATTCTGGGCTGTTTGAGGAATAAGTCCACATCTTTCTTAATCCTTTCTTGTATCCCTCCCACTGCAGCAGCTAGCAAAGCTCTGAGTATGTTTTAGATGTTCAATAAATATTTATTGAATTTAATTGTGAAAAAGCATATTGCATCATTATATTATACTTATACCATTTGTTAAGAAGTTCAGGGGCCCTAACAAACTTCAGAAATGAGCTTGAAACCTGCCAAAATCTCAATTTTGGGGGCTAACTTAAGGTTCGAATGATTACACAGTTGACCTGGATGGAGAAATATAGTTGAAAGTTCAGAATCATAGCCGACTCCTCATTTTATAAATGAGGAAGCTGAGATCCAGAGAAGTTAATGACTTGTCAAGAGTCTGTAAATATAGCAGAAATGATCAGAATATAATGCTACAGGATCAGCCAGGGCTGAGAACCATATAGGGCAAATATTGTGAATGACAGCCAGGCATCTTGGGAATTATAGCTTTTCTTTACTCTTATTCTGAGAGAAGATGGGCCCACCTCCCATGGGATTTGGGATTTAGGTCTGGGGATATGAGATCTGATAGCTGCATGGAGCTTAAATAGAATTGGGGATTAGTCTGGGAGCATAGCCTGGACAGAAAAGGAGAGGACCCCTACTACACATGTGATAAGTACTAGAACCAGAATAAGAACTCAGGTCTTGGGACTCCAAATACCTTATTCTTTCTACTATACCATATTTGGGCAGCTAGGTGGCTGACCTGAAGTGCTAGACCTGAAGCCAGGAAGTTGTTAGTTCAAATCTAGCCTCAGACACTTACTGGCTGTGTGACCCTGGACAAGTCACTATCTACCTCAGTTCCCTCATCTGTAAAATGAGGATAGCCCCTTCCTCACAAGGTTGTGAGGATCAAATGAGATAATATTTGTAAAGCACTCAGCACCATGCTAGCATAAAGTAGAGATTATATAAATGCTTATTCCGTTCCTTTCTCAATGGCCTACAAGGTTTACGTACTTGCCCACGGTCACACAAATAGAAAGCTGAGGTACAAAATAGTCAGTAGCCCTTACCGGCTTTTCTGATACCTTACGGATGAGGGAATTCTCTCTACCACTGCTGGTTGGCATCACTAGCTTAGGGTGACACAGCCAGTATTTTTCAGAGGCAAGACTTAGATTCAGGTCTTTATGGTTCCATGGCCAGTTACCTCTCCACTACTCCATGGCTCCTCTTGCTACATGTCTGTCCAATGTCACTAGGTAATACCCACTAAGGTTGTGGCCCTATCTGAAATGTACTTACTGTTGACCTGAAGTATCCGTGTAGTTCTCCTTTCTTTGGGCTCAAAATCCATTCCATCAATAGGTAACTTGGCCTCACAAATGAGGGATTTTCCCATGTCTTCCATGGTTGGGGTAAAGATCACCTTCAAACCCTTGGTCTCCAGGTTATTCCCTTCAGCATTCTCCACAATATCATGTAATTCCACAGGATGATGAGAACCTTCCTTCCAGAATGTCATCTCCAGTCGTTCTGAGGGGTATACCTTTGGGACCTTGCAGGTGACAGTGACAGGCTTTCCAACGATAAGGGGGCCACTCATCTCAATCTCAGGATCTCTAGGGAAAGCTTGAAATACCAAAATAAACAAGCTCATACCTGTGAGATTTTTGCTGGTATTTTACATAGATTACATTTTACATAGATTATATTTTAGATTTACGTATATTTCAGAGAATAACCAAGCTAATTTTTGTAAGCAGGAACAGCCTCCAAATGTTAATTTTGGTCCCTAGGGACATCATAATCACATTATGTTAATACGTATACAGGCATGTGAAGCAAGGCTATGTAAATTATCCAGTCTTAGGATATAATCTTATTGATGACAAAGGCCTGTTTTAGAATTCATAGTGCCTGGGTTGATAAATTTCAAAACATCTATTATTAGGATTGGTTAAAGCAAACACTATGTTTCACTATTTAGACTTTGTTGTCTCTCTTCTCTTTCACAAGATTTCTATTCTGCTCATATATTTTAGAGTGAAGGATGACACAGGGTTCTGGACAGCCAATCCAGGAGAGAAGGAAGGAATGATTCCTACCAAGATAGAAAGGTTTTGCAAAAAAGGCCATTGTTGGACAAACTATGCCTCTACCATCAGGTGACCAGATTCACTAACTTCAGAAAGGCTAGTCATTGAAAGGCTGTTCAGTGGACAATTATTTTTTTTTTTAATTTCAGAAACTTAGAAGACCATTGGTAAGTCAAGGAAGACTATGAGAGGGAGATTCCATGTAGGTGGATCATCAACTTCTTAAAATATTTCTGTAAGTATTTCCACTCCAATTAACATATTTTACTGAAATTTTAAGACATAGGCCTTTTAGACAAGTATGCTACTATTCAATTTGATCTCTCAATTTGAGAGACTGATTGGGTAAAGTGAGAGGGAGAAAAAAGAGAGAGAGAGAGAGAGAGAGAGAGAAGAGAGAGAAGAGAGAGAGAGAGAGAGAGAGAAAGAGAGAGAGAGAGAGAGAGAGAGGTTCAGCCTGCCTCAGAATCAGTATGATTTTTGTTCCAATCCCACTTCTGACACATACTAGCTGTATGATTCAAGGCCAGTCATCTGAACTCTTTTAACCCCAAGCAACTCTCTCATCCTATAAGATCTCAGAGCTCCATTACCAATCTGTGTTGGTGAAAGGGTTTTCAGCTAGTCAGTCGACAAGCATTTGTTAAACACCTACAGTGTGCCTGGCACTGTGCTAAGCTCTTTACAAATATTATCTCATTTGATCCTCTCAACAACCCTAAGGAGGTAGGTGCTATTATTTTCCCCATTTTACAGTTGGGGAAACTGATGCAGGCAGTGGTTAAGTGAGTTGCTTAGGACCACACAGCTAGCAAACATCTGAGGATGATTTGAACTCAGGTCTTACTGACTCCATACCCAGGTCTTTATGCACTGCACCATCTAGCACCTCTGAGAGATACAAAGAAAGACCAAAACAGTCCCTTTCCTCAAGAGCTCGTGTTGTAATGAGAGAAAAAACAAACAAACCTGTAAACATACAAGATATATACTGAGTAGATGAAGCTTCCTATACAGATAAAATCACATCCAGACCAGAAAATAAAACAAAGAGATGGAGGATCTGAGCAATATTGGGATATATTTTGCATTAAATCAGTTATAAAAGCAAAGGTGAGGAGCTTATTATCATTGCCCCAGAACAAAGCTCAAACTATTTTGCACTAACCAGAATGCTGCAAAATGAGTTCTCAGCTATTTCCTTACTGCAATAAAGACCTCTTTTCCTGGTTCTCATTTATGGTTAGGAATGTGCTGACCTCAGCAAATCCTTGGCTCGGTGTAGTGATGATACAATATAACTTAACCCTCTTTTGAGAAGTTCAAATTCCTCCCAAACATAATCCATTTCCCCCCAGAACACAGCCTCAAGGAGGTAAGAAATGATTGGTCAGTAGTTCTGTCAGAAAGTCCCTGCAATGTGTACTTTTGAATCCTGTTCAATGAAAGAAGACAGAGCAACTATGTCAAGGAAATCACAGGATAGGTAATTTGTACCTATTGTTTACCATCATCACCATGAGCCATGACACTCAAAGTCCATTCCACATATCGATTGGCAGCTGGCCTGGGTTTGAGTTTCCAAACTACTCACTTGGTACCATTCTTCACCGAGTAAATGAAATGGTACGTTAGCAAAATGGAGAATTGCTAGGAAGGTGTCATTCTCACTGCTGAAGTGAATTCACTGTAGGACACCTATGTTAGTCCACTCTTGCTCCCAGCATCATAGATCCCCTGCCTCAAGCCCAAAGTTTTGTGTCTCTCTGCCTACTTTCCACTCACTTTTAGCTCTGCTTCTTGGCTGTGCCTCTCAGCCCAAACTCCTCCCCTTCTTTCCAGGTCCAGCTGCTCACAGACAGCCACAGGTATTGTTGAGGTAGTAACTCTGGTCCTTTTGAGTCGATAAGCACTGACTCAAGATTGGTTGACAGTCTCTGGTGTGACAGCCAACAAGCTAAGTAAATAGGGAGGGGTCTGAAAGTCATATTCTGTTCAAACCAATACTGGAGATAGAAGTGGGAGAGTGGAAAGGCATAGGCTGCTGACTATGGACACCCTAATATATGAGCCAAGATTTGGACTAACTATGGGGCAAGCCATGAGACTATGTATATAAGGGTTATTCTGCTTGCTTTTTGAGTACAAATCAACTGAATTGCTTGGGGGGAAAATTCCTCAGTTCGGCAGTAAACAGTAATTTTTACCACATGCTTGAATAAAAAGTTTCATCAGGCACATATGGTTTCCTCATTAAGGAATCATGCGCTCTGTTTATTTCCTTCTCTAAACACTTCTGTCTCATTGCACAGTCATGGGGTCAGATTTATTTTTTTCAACCAACCCCATTAAAAATGAACAATTCCCAACTTTGGAATATCACTTTTAAATAATGATCACTGACACACAGTGCTCTGAGGTTTGTCAGGACACTGTGCTAACCCCTTTACAAATATTATCTCATTTGATCCTCTCAGTAATGCTAAGAGGCAGATGTTATTATTATCTCCATTTTACAGTTGAGGAAACTGAGTCATGCAGTGGTTAAGTAACTTGCCCAGGGCTACACAGCCAACCAACATCTGAGGATAGATTTGAACTCAGGTCTTATTGACTCCATACCCAACTCTCTATACCCCACTCCTCTAAGAGATAACAAAGAAAAGTCAAAACAGTCTCTTCTCCCAAGGAGCTCATTATCTCATCACTGTCATCATCATCATCATTACTAATTATGCCATGTACATGTATATCATTGTGTTATATGGGTATTATGGTATTCTTATTAATGTATTATTACATTATTTCATTTGATTTCCTCAATAACTCTGTGAGGCAGGCACTACATGTATTATTATCCCCATTTTGCAGATGAAGAGACTGAAACTTCAGAGAGGTAAATTGACTTGCCTAGAGTTATGCAGCTACTAAATATTATATATGGGACTTAGAGTGATAGATTTAGAGATGGAAGGGACTTTTGGGGTTATTTAGTCCAATGCTCTCATTTTGTCAATGAGGAAACTGTAACCTAGAAAGATCATTTGATTTCTCACTTTATCCCTTACATATCTTATTTGTACATAGTTGTTTGGATATCATGAACTCCTTTAGAGAAGGGACTGGTTTCTGTGTTTCTTTATATCCCCAGTGCTTAGCATAGTTCCTGGCACATAGTAGGTGCTTAATAAATGCTTGTTGACTTAACTTTTTCCAGGTTATAAAGGTAGTAAGTAGCAGACCTGGGGCTTGAACTTATGTTTTCCTGACTCTGAGTCCAGTGCTTTCTCCCCTACAGCATGTTGTCTAGATAACTTAGAATAAGAGTAGATCCTTACAATGTTGGCTTACTCACAATAAAGTTCCACCTGGACTCCTTTTTCCACTTTGTTGTCCCCACATGATGCTGTGCACAGATAAAAATGTTCGTTCTCAAGGCCAATAGGATTCATGATCAAGGTGGATTTGGTCTCCTCATTGTGTACTTTCCCCCTATGGGGCTGTCTATCTGGGTTTTCCAGGAGATAAAGGGAGCCTCACAGCCTGTTGTGGTGCAGGTCAACACAAGAGAATCTCCAATCTGAGCAGCAATCTTTGGTCCTGGGGAGATTTCCACTGTAAGAAGTTTCACTGAAAGAAGAGAAGGAAAGTGAGATATGAACCTGTATCAAACTTTATAAGATTTTCTTCCTTTTCCATTCCACTTTGTTTCATTCATGTTATCATATTTATGTTATCATATACACTTTAACTTCTCACCTGAAAAGAAGAAATGGCTCTCCTAAAACTTACTTTCCATGAGGGAAAGGATCCAATTAAAAAAAATAGTTCAAGGTGACCCAAATGCACTCACTTGGTTAAAGCATTTAAAAGGGTTGAAAAACAGAGTGAATGAGCAGAGATAAAAGTTGTTTAAAAAAAGAGTGGAGGAGGGGGAGGGGGGCTGCTGTCTTTACTTTAGCAGGATGAAGATTTGATGCGAGGCAAGATGATCAAAGCACTCTCCCTGGTTGCTGGGGCAACTAAACCTATCCTGATCCCATATGGAAATGAAATGAGATCTGTGAGAAGAATTTATAAGCTTGGAAGTATTGGAAAAGACAATAGTCACTCATTTTACATTAAAAAGAATGCCTTTGATACCCTCGAACCTAGGACTTGAGTTCTAGTATTTCAGTTTCACACACATCTGAAATTAACACAAAAATCACTTTGGAAGCAAGTCAAAAGCTAAGCTTTCGAGTCACAAACAATTCATTTCTGTTAGTGTTAACTTGTGCTCCTTTATGGACACATGAACCTGCTTTAAATTTAAATCCAGGGTGGAAGGCTCAACTACATCACAGAACATACCCGGTAACAAATTTTGGAAAGGAAGCTCTTTGACGATTAGCATCATTCCTGATGTATACACAGGCTTTTTTAGATGGTAGTTGTTCTGGGGAGGAAAGGAGTTCTAAATCAGTGCTTTCTGTTGATTCTAAAGAAATTCAGAGTGATTTTGCTGCTCTGAAGGTGACAGATGAGATGTCACAGGAGGTAACAAAAGCCCATAGTGCTTGACAATCTGTTTCAGATGAAGGAGGGGAAGCTTCAGTAAATAAGCTATTCAAGTACTCTACACTTTCCCAGTTCACTTTTGTCACAAAGAAAGGCAACTTCAACATTAAAATTTCTCTGTGCATGTGTGCACCTAAGTGCTTACCTGGGACATCCTAATATCTTGCAAAGAAAGTTTATCTCACACAATTCCAACACACTGAAAGTAATAATACTTTTCTGTAGTGCCTTAGGGTTTGTAACTCACTGTCCTCATGGCAGTCTGTGGGGTAGGGAGTGTCGGTGTTTTTATTCACATTTGACAGATGAGGAAACTAAGGCTTAAAGGATAAATGACTTGCCAAGGTAAGTCTAGTAAATATCAGAGGCGGAAACTGAACCAAGGCTTCTTGAACTCAAGTCCACTACTCCCTCCACCACACTTGTCTGGTTCTGCTTTTCCAATGAGGTACTTTTAGATTATCTCTTTAAAAGGAAAGATAATGACTACAAATCAATTTTGAAATTTTTATTCCAATGTTAGAAGATGAACATTTAAAAAATGGATCTGATTCTTTCTTTGTGAACCTCTTTAGATCAGTTAGTGAAGTAATGACATATTGAATCCTAGTTTTTTCCACTTCCTGCCTTTGTGACTTTGGCAAAACCTTCAAGGGTCTTAATTGCCTCATTTGTAAAACTGAAGGGGTTGGACCAGATGACTTCCAAGGTCTCTTTCAACTTGAAATCTGTGATTATATGATCTTTTAAAAGTTAATTAATTTTCTCTTTACAGCATATTAATTTCAAAATATATTTTTACCCCTGTTGTGCAAAGCAAGCCTTTCCATGTAGCAAAGATTTAAAAATTTTCAAACACACACACAAACACAACTGTTCAGCAAAACCTGAACAAAACATTGACCGTATCTGATAACATGTAAGATATTCCATGGCTACAGACCACTGCACCCTCCATTCCCTCCCTGCAATGAAGGGATGTTCATTTTCTCTTCTACTCCTGAGTCAAGGTTGGTCATTATAATTACACAGCATTAAGTTTTATTTATTTTTCTTTCCATTTATTTTGCTGAAATTATCATGTATATTATTTTCTATGCTTACTACATTCTGTACTGGTTTATATAGGTTTTCTCACGTTGCCTTGAATTTTTTGTATTAATTGTTTCTCACAGCACAGTATTATTCCGTTATACTTAGATCTAGCAATTTGTTTAGCCATTCTTCAATCTTCATCTACTTTGTTTGCAGTATTTTGCACCAAAGAAAGTGTAGCAATAAACATGTTTGCATATAATGAGAGTTTTCTCTCCATCTGCTACTTTGTGACATATGCCTGGCTGTGAGATCTCTGGATCAACATTTTAGTCACTTACAAATTGTTTTCCAAAATAGTTGGACCAGTTCACAACTCCACCAACTGTCTTTCTGTAGCCCTTCCAATACTGACTGTTTCCATCTTTGCAAATTTTCCAAGCTTTTTCAATTTCTTATTATTAGCGATTTGGAGAAGTCTTTCCTACAGTTGTTAAGTTACATTTCTTTTGAGAACTTTTTGTTCATATCCATTACCCACTTATCCATTAGGGCATGGCTCAGTTATATATTTGTGTAATTTTCTATATAACTTAGATAGAAAGACCCTTATCATGGTTAGCTAACACAAAGATTTTTTTTCCCCCAATTGACTTTTCCCCCTTTGATCTTAGCCCTAGAGTCATAATAATATGGATTAAATCTTTGGAGACAGTAACTTTTTCAGACCACTGTTACCATAGTTCATAAATTGCTGGCATAGGGGCCTTCAGTTTTAGCCTCATAGCCTGAAGGAGTTGATACAGCTCTTAAAAGCCAGTAACTTCCTTCCTCTTCACTTTTGACATGGGACAGGTTTTATTAGAAAGCTAAGTTATTCCAGGAAGCAATTTTAGCAGCACAGCCTTTTTATTAGCTTAGAATATTCAAGAGCTCCTTGGGAATTAACCTTTTGTAGCCTGAGATACAAAGGAGTAGATTCATTTAGCAGTGGTATAAATCTTAGAATATATTTTTAAAAATTCTTGTTTGGGTTCTATGACTGTTACCATTATCAGCCAATTGCATAACGGAAATTAACTCATTTGACTCACCTACAGTTACTTCCACCTCTTTCCTACTTTTTCCAAACTGGTTCTTCGCTTCACACACGTAAGTTCCAGAATCTTCTTTCCTCATGCCCACTAAGGTGAGTATTGCATTCTCAGAAAGAGGCAATGAGTCCTCACTGTCCTGTTTCTTACTCCAAAAGATCTGTGGGGGTGGCAGGCCCTCGCTGGAACAGGTCATTGTCACAGAATCCCCTTCTTGCACAGTGTCGGAGGGGGTGATGGAGATGATTGTGTTCTTGGGTACAACTGAAAAAGGTAAGGCCACTGGGTTAGCTTTCATTGTCTTTTATGTCAGTGCAGTGGGGATGGAGGGCAACTCTCTCTTCTCGCAGAGGGTGACCTGAGCTTTTTAGAAATGTGGCTCCTGGAGAGGTAAACTGCATTTATGCACAGGTATTGATTGGTTTAACCCATCCAATAAGCCCAAGAAAAGTGGTTTGTGAGCCAAAGTGAGGACATTTAAGCAAAACCCAGTTCACCAAGTTTTAGGGGGCTTTCGGTGATTTAGGGGGAGGGTTTTTTGATAGACTGGGAGACTATGTGTAGATATAGCTCATGAAAATAACATTTATACATGTTAGGTTTTACAAAGAGCTTTATATATGTCAGTTAATCCTGACAACAACCCTATAGTTGTTGATGTGTGATTTAAAAGGAGGATTTTTTGATGGATTGATGTGTGTGTATAAATTAGTTTCAGAAAATAGCTAGCATTTATATAGGGCTTTAAGCTTTGTAAAGCACTTCACATATGTAATGTTGTTATCCTCACAACAACCTGGAGGTATAGGCGCTATTATTATCATCATCCATTTTTAAAGATGAGGAAACTGAGGCTGAGAAAAGGTTAAGTAACATGCCCAGGGTTTCACAGCTAGTAAGTATCTAAGGCAAGATTGGAACCCAAGTCTTCTGGATTCCAGTACTATGGTCACTATGCCAACCTAGTTGCCTCTGAAGAGGAAAAGCACTTGAAACCATGTCCTAGTGAAAGAGGCCAATTAACTTATTTTTTAAAAAAATCTCTCTCATCTGAATTATTCAGATTGGCTGTGACTTGGTAAGTGTGAGATTTACTTCAAAATTAAGTTCCTTCCTCTTTGCTTTGGCAAAATCACTTCCACCTTAACTATCAGCATAGTGTAGGAGGGCAATGTTGCATGGAAGGAGAGCTATACTTCAGAATGAGGAAACCTGGGTTTAAAACTTGTCTCTGACACCTTGTTAGTACTGTGTGAGCAAGGGTATTAGTTCTTCAAAGATCCTATTTACTGCTCTAAATATGGTACATTAGAAAATGGACTGGATGTAAAGTCAGCGTTTTGTCAGTTATTCAGGATTATTTGTTGTTACTCAGTCATTTCGGTCATGCCTGACTCTTCGTGATTTCATCTGGGGTTTTCTTGGCAGAGATACTGGGGTGGTTTGCCATTTTCTTCTCCAGCTCATTTTACAGATGAAGAACTGAGGCAAACAAGGTGAAGTGACTTGCCCAGGTTCACACAGCTAGTGAGTGTCTGAGCCAGATTTGAGCTCAGGAAGATGTGTCTTCCCAACTCCAGGCCTAGCGTTCAATGCACAATGGCACCACCTAGCTTCCCCAGAGTCAGGAAAACTGGGTTCAAATGCTAGATACTGGCTTTATGACTGGGCAAATCAACTTTTCAAAGTTTCAGTTTCCTCATTTGTGAAATGGTGTTGATAATACTTGCACTCTGTGGTGAAGAAAGCACTTTAGAAACCTCAAAGCTTTATAGAAACGGGGGTTGTGATCCGCTGTTACTAGCCTCCTTGGTGTTCCTTGAATGCTGTCTCCCAGACTTCAGGAATTTCCACGGGCTGTTTTCTATTCCTGGAGTACTCTCCCTCCTTATCTCCAGCTTCCAGCAGGCCTGACTTCCTTCAGATCCCAGATAAAATCCCAACTTCTGCAAGAATATTTTCCTGGTCCCCTTCTAATGCTAATGTCTTCTCTCTAAGATTATTGCCAATTTATTTCATCTTGCTTGTACATAATTGGTTGTGTGTTGTGTCCGCCATTATACTATGGGCTTCTTGAGAGCAGGGAATGTTTTGGGCTTTTTTTGTATCACCAACACTTAGCACAGTGCCTGACACATAGTAGGTGGCTAATAAAATGTTTCTTGACTTATTATCAGTATGCATTGCTTTTCTTATAAGATTGTAGGTCAAATGAGATAATATTTGTGAAAAGTACTTTGTACAGTGCCTAGAATATAGTAGATACTATATATGTGTGTGTGTATACATATGTGTGTGTATACATATATATACAAATATATATACACATACATACACATACATATATATGCTTATTCCCCTCCCCATACATATATATATATATGTATATATATATATACACACACACACACACACACACACACACACACATGCGTATTCCCCTCCTCTTCCCCTCATTCAGAAACAATGTTTTTAAAAGACTTATGTAAATATGGAGAAGTAATATGGAGCAATGAAAAGGGAGCAACCCTTGGAGCTGGGAAGACTCCAGGCCAATTTATGACCCATATTAGCTGTGTGACTTGGGACAGGTTGCTTAACCTCTCACTTCCCCCAAGCAACTGTCTATTACTATATATTGCCGACCTGCTTTGATAAAAGAAATTCCTTCCAAGGTGTTTCCTATACTGATAACATCACAGGTCTACTCCAAAAGAAAAAGACATCATCATAATCATCATCATCATCATCATCATTCTTATCACCATTTTCCACGTGGGAAGAAATTATTTCCCTATTACTTTCCTCAACCTCCCTTCAAGCCCCTCCTTTTATCTACAATATCCACAAATGGAGAGCAGAATGTGGGTTTTGAGAACTGCAGTTTGTCCAAGTTAATGTACCCTTCCTATAACCATTTGGCAAAAGGCTTGAATTAACAATAGTGTTAAATGAGAATAAACGAACAATTTCTCTTTGACTTTATAGACCCTATACTAAAAGCCATTTGCCAGTCAAATAGAGGCATAAGATTCCACAAAACCTGCCACCTTGTCTGAAATGTACTTATGAAATATACTTACTGTTCACCTGAAGTATCTGTGTAGTTCTCCTTTCTTTGGGCTCAAAATCTATGTCATCAATAGGTAACTTGGCCTCACAGGTGAGGGATTTTCCCATGTCTTCCATGGTTGGGGTAAAGGTCATCTTCAAACCCTTGGTCTCCAGGTTATTCCTGTCAGTATCCTCCACAATTTCGTGTAATTCCACAGGATGATGAGAGCCTTCCTTCCAGAATTCTATCTCTAGTCGTTCGGAGGGGTATACCTTTGGGACCTTGCAGGTGACAGTGACAGGCCTTCCAACAATAAGGGGGCCACTTATCTCGATCTCTGGATCTCTGGGGAAAGCTTCAAATACCAAAATAAACCTAAGTATGAATAAGATTCTTTCTGGGTGTTTACACAGGATGATTTAAATAAATACATTTTAATATGCACAATAACAGCACATAGTCGATATTCTATCATTTCACCGATATGGATATGTCTCCATTGATGCAAGTCATCACCCTTTTTGTGCTTTAATAGACGGCTTTATTAAGTGCTGTGGCCTAAAACAAAACAAAAACAAAAACATCCCCTTATAGCTAATAAGATTGTAAGCTCCTTGAAGGCAAAAACTGTCTTTTGCCTTTTTTTTTATCCTCACTGTCTAGCACAATGCCTAGAACATAGTAGGTGCTTAAGAAATATTTATTGATTAAGTGGTGAAACATCTCCAAGCTTTGCTAGGCTGGTCTTTGGATGACAGACATGAAATCCATTGCCAGGTCAGGACTAGAGAAGTTTCTAGCACCTTTTTTTTAACCTCCTAGAGCTTATGCTCCATTGACATAAGTTTTAAGACCCCAGTATACCTACAAGGCTCGAGGAGTCATCATTTTAGGACTCTAGAAAAGGAATAGTATCAAATGTGGCCTCAGACACATAACATTTATTAGCTATGTGGCCCTGGGCAAGTCACTTAACCCCCTTAACAACAAAAAAAAAGGAATAGAAGCATAGAATTAGTTAAAACACACACATTTCTTTATCCAGGCCCTGTTATTGTTTCCAGTAAATGCACTTTCTAGAGATTTTAAAATAGATACTCCAATCATTTTTCATACATTCTACAGTAAAGAGTCCAGTGACAGATCAATCAATTAATCAGTTAAGCAGTACTTATGAAGCACCTTCTATCAATTACTGGTGATACAAAAAATGGTGAAACAGACTCCACCCTCAAGGAGTTCACATTCCATTAAGGTGGACAGCACATATACATATGGCACAAAATATGTACACTGTAAGCACAACATAATTCCATGAAGATGGAGGATTGTCAGAAAGGTGTCCTATAGGGAACTTTGGAGGGAGCTAGATACTCTTAGAGGTGAACACAGAAGGGAATTTACTCTACTCATCTAGAAAGCAAAATTTTAATGGCTGATAAAAGGATGTGGTCTCTGAACGGAGACATTGAGACATCTCCTATATCACATCAATGAAAACAATGAGTAGGAGGAGACTAGCAAAATCCCGGAGGGATGATAACAACGATGATGAACAATTGTAACAGTAACTGACATAAAGCGCTTTAAAGTTTGCAAAAGCACTATGTATTTAATCTCCTATTTAAACCACATAGCCACATTGTGAGATGCATACAACTGGCATTAAGATGCCCATTTTACAGATGGGCAAACTCAACCTCTGAGCAGGTGGCTTATCTATGTTCATACAGTGAAGTAGGATTTGAACCCAGAAGTGGCTGACTCCAACACAGACTTCTAGCCATTTTGTCATGGTCTGTTTCTCACTAAACAGAAAGATGCAAAAGTGATTTCTTCTCAACTCTTTCCATATTGTAATACTACCTCTTTTTTTCTGGTTCTCATTTATGGTTGGGAATGCGCCAACCACAGTATATCTGTGGCTCTGTATAATAAGGTGATACAATATAATTTACCTTCCTTTTGAACAGTTCAAATCTCTTTACAGACAGAATCAAATTCATCCTGACTATAGTCCTGTGGGTTAAGACAGGCTTAGTTAGAACTTCCATTGTATAATGCCTGTTTATTCTAAAACCTGCTGCCTGAAGCAGGGTACAGAAACCAAGTCAGTGAAATCACGTGGTCACTTTCACACTAGTTCCCATAATTACTAGAGAGGAGAAAGGGAACACTACTGAAGTGGTCAGTGTCTCATATAGTAATTACAGTTGTCTTGCATTTGGGCTCAATCTTTCACTTTTGTTTGATCTACAGAAGACAAATAAATAGACTAATTTGGATCGAATCCCTTCCCTTCCCTGGGTCTCAGTTTCCTCATCTCTGAAATTAGGTGTTGGGCTATCAGAGTCCCTTCCAATTTCATCAGTTTTTGACTCAGTGATTTGCAAGGGGGAGGCAGTGTATATCTTCTCCTATAAGGCATCTATGCTAGTCTTGACTTTGACCCAGTCTCACAAACTTTCCGAAAGCACAGTTTTCCATCTCTGACTACTCTCTTCCCACCTTGGTATCTATTTCCTAATTTTGCTCCTTAGAAACACCCCACCACTTCTGTCCAGTTCTTATTCCCCATAGATAGATAAAGGTGGCTGAGCCTTCTGAACTGAATAGATAAATGAGTTGAGATTAGTTAGGTTAGGACTCTGTTCAAAGCAAGAGAACTTTTCCAGGTACAGGTGACTATCTTGAAAGGCTGCTGGGTTAATGACAAAGTAGAAGTTGGAAGAATATGGACAGCCTATATAGTAAGATTCGTACCTATTAAGGAGAGGCAAGGAGGAGGAGAGAGAGAAATTGTAAATTAAAGGAATGTGAATAGAAAGGTTCAGTTCTATTATTGCATGTTAATGATTGTCTGGTTTGATAAATTTGGTAAGAGTTTGAGAAGAGATGGATGGAAAGCTGGCCTCTAAGCCAAGAAGATCCTGGTTCAAGTCCTGTCTCTGATACACACTAGCTATGCGACCTTGACCAAGTCACTTAAGTTTTCAGCTTTCTAAGTAACTCTCTAAGTTACATCTTACAGTCAAAAAGTTGCAGAGAAAGCACTGACCTGCATTGGTAGAGGGAGCTTTCATACCAGGGAGATCCCTCTATTAATACAATCTCAATTCCGATATCTATCTCAACATTCCCTGCTCTAAAGGAGCCTACATTCTACCAGGTGAGAGGAAGTATATAAATATGTAACCACAAGGTTAGGAGGGGAAAAGTGAGCACTGCAAATTGAGGGAATCCAGGAAAGTTACATGGAAAATATGTTAATCAGGACTAACCCTTAAAAGATCAGGATTTTGAAGAAAGAAAGAAAGAAAGAAAGAAAGAAAGAAAGAAAGAAAGAAGAAGAAGAAGGAAGGAAGAGGAAAGGAAGGAAGGAAGGAAGGAAGGAGGAAGGAAGGAAGGAAGGAAAGGAAGGAAGGAAGGAAGAAAGAAAGAAAGAAAGAAAGAAAGAAAGAAAGAAAGAAAGAAAGAAAGAAAGAAAGAAAGAAAGAAAGAAAGAAAGAAAGAAAAAAAAAGAAAGAAAATGAACTCTTAGTTTAACAAGTAGTTTCTTCCCTGGCTTGAATAAAATTCAAGAGGAACACATGGTTAATCATTAAAAATACATATACCTTGTTTATTCCCCCACTTAACACTTGGCCCTGTGGAATAGTCATACATTCATTTCCCCCCAACTAATCTCACTGACAACAAGTAGTTCTCAATGTTATAGCGTCGCTTTCAAAGAGTAGATGACTTACAATAGAGCTGCACCACAATTCCTCTTTCCACTTCCTTGCCCCCACATTTGGCTGTGCACAGATAGGAGTGATCATTCTCAATACCAACTGAATCCATGGTCAAGATGGATGTGGTCCCTTGATTTTGCATCTTTCCCCCCAAGGGGCTGTCTATCTGAGTTCTCCAGGAGAAAACAGGGGATTCACAGCCAGTCACAGTACAGGTCAGCTTAGTGGAACCACCAATCTGAGCAGGGACCTTGGAACTTGGGCCAACCTCAATTTTCAGATCTTCCGCTGAAAAGACAAAAAAGAAAAGAAAAGAGAATTTACTATTAGCTTCTGATTTAATCGTCCTCTCCCTTTTATCCTCTCTAGGATCCTGGGGAAAATGTCATACATCAGCTGTCCTGTCTAAATAACTTGAATCTCCCAACTAGGTGTTCAGAAAGACAATGAAGAATATTGTCAAGGAAGATGTTGGAATCATCTTCCTTAGTAAAAGATCAATGACTAAGGTTTGGACTTGGCCTCTATTTCTCAGGATCTTGTTGATATATTTCCTTACAAATTTGATTTCCATCTAAATATAGGAAACTAATAAAGAGGTAAAGAGGCAACAATCAAAAATTATTCATTCCATGTGGGAAATCATATTCCAAATATGTTTAGTTTCAAGGTCATCCCCATGCTGGACCATCGATGCATAGCTAAATTCAACAGCACTTTGAAAACTAAGTTCAACAAAGTTTTCCCCTATCTTTAAAAACCACAGAACCATTTTTGACAGCAAGTACTAAGGAGTCTGAAATCAACCCAGCAGCTCAGATGGATGCAGGCAGGCAAAAGAAATGAAAGGAAAAAAACTCACACATAGCAAATACCATCCAAAGGAGGTTCATGGCCAGGACAGTCCCGAGCTTTTGTCCACGCATTTTGTATGTTGTGATAGAGGAAATAGCAAGTCCAAACTACCCACTCTCTGTGCTACCTGAAGAAACCCAGGGACTGTCTGCAGCTTTCAAAGTGAAGGCAGCTGGGTAAGCAATGGAAGAAAAGAGTCTGCTCTTTATAAAGGGTCTTGCTGCAGAGGCGGAGGGAAATCCCTTAACGGGGAAACCCAGAGCAGAGCCAAGAAAAAAAAAAAAGACTGACCCAGAGCCAAGTTCCTCAGTGTTAACCCCTTGTACTGCTTCAGAGGCGAAATCACAGACATCTGCACATTCCAAGCTTGCTTTCCAGTAGTAAACAGAGGTTTTAAATTTAGGAACTGCTCTAAATTGGGGCACAAAAGACCCCAAGATTATAGTGTGCTGATTAGCAAAGATATTTTGCAATTCACCCACTGCAGGACAATCATATCTTTAGGCTAGTAAGGAGAAGAGTTTTGGTTGGTTTTTTTTTTAAGCAAAAAAAAAATCTTTCTGTTATGTGATGGACTTCTGTGTCATAGATAAATAGATGGATGGATGGCTAGATAGGTAGAGGATAGATAACATTTTCTTTATGACAAATTAATTGCATTCTACTTTTAGGTATATCTCCATGGAAAACTCAATGAATTATTTCCTTTCATATTAGTAGAGGGTATAGGAAGAATGACTGAAAGCTGAAGTGTTATAGAGGCTGAAAAAAGGTGAGTACCTTTAGCATGAAGGGATTGTGGTCTGCATGGGTGGAGGGGTATCTCCACACTAATGAAATCATGGATTGTAGAAAACACGACATTACAGGCTGAAGGCAGGTAGGAGTATATACCATATGTCAGTTTTCTTAAGTATCGTTGAAAGAACTAGAGTGCCAGAAACCCTGAGTTTAAATCCCATCAATAATATTTGCTTCCTGACCATGGGCTTCCTTTTGCTTTCTCATTTATAAAATAGGGATAATAATACTTGCTGTACTTCTCTCAGAGAGCTATTTTGAAGATAATTCAAGGTGCTTTATACCCTGAAGTACATTAGAAATGTTGTTATTCTTACTGCTCTTATTGTTGTTGTTGTCGTTCTGGGCCATCTCCAGTTGACTGATGTATATCTGGCCACTGGACCCAGATGGCTCTGGAGGAGGAAGTGAGGCTGATGACTTTGCACAGTCCTCCCTCACTCAAATCCAATTCACTTGCAAGTCATGGCATCATCTTCCTAATATCATGGTCCTCTTCGAGAACCAAAGATAAACCACACACGCAGACCACCACTCTCTTAAAAAGGGAAAACTACTCAGTCAACCAGCTGTCTACCAGTTGTCTCCATGATATATAAAGATCCAATTAAACCTTTTTTTCTGAATTGACTTTTTTTTCAAATGAACTGAATGGGTTTGATATTGCAAAGCAGTGGCCCCGAAGCTGCAAAACTCTCTAGTCTCACGCTAAACCAAAAAATCCAAATCCTACCCCCAAACAGGACTAAAATACAATTTACTATGAGAAATTGTATTTCTTTGGAAATCCCAAGACCATAGAAGAATTATGTACATAAAAAACTTTCACAGTTCACCTTGGAATTCAGGACAGCTAGGCATGTAACTTTCTCCTTTCTTCAGGAAATAAGGATGCATTTCAGGAAACTGGTAGGAATTTAAAACTTTGGGGAATAAAAACTACAGGAAGGAAGGGCCATTTATTTGGCAAAGTCTGTTTTAGCATAAGCTATCTCTGGCCTTTCTGTCAGTGTAAGGAAAAATGCAAGTTAGTACTTAAGAGTCTATATTTTCCTTGGTGTGGGCAAATGCTCAACTTATTTAGACTGTTATACTTCTGTTTCTTAAGACATGGTCTTCATGAGATACTGTGGCCAGAAAAATGAATATCCTAGTGCAGGGGTGGGGAACCTGTGGCCTTAAGGCCACGTGTGGCCCTCTTGGTCCCCAAGTGCAGGCCTTTGACTGAATCCACTCAAAGGGCCTCACTTGAGGATCTATAGGGCCACATGTGGCCTTGGGCTGCAGGTTCCCCACCCCTAGTGGTCAACTATCTGTCAATGAGCCTTAGCATCCTTTACCAGGTCGATTCTCATTTGTTAGACCGAATCTATTGCTGGGCCCATATTCAAAGCCATTCTAGCTTGGTGGGACCCAATGTCGTCATGGTTTTAGGGTAGGGAGAGGCCTTTGAGGTCATCTGGTTAAACCCCCTTATTTTAGAGATGAGTAAATTGAAGCTTAGAAATGTTAAATGACTTACCCAGAGTCACATTAGTTGTAAGAGTCTGGACTTGAATCCAAGTCTTCTGATTCCAAATCCAGTGACTTTCTCTGTGGGCATAGTCGCACAGAACCTCCCAGGTCACAAAGAGGTATTAGAGCAAGGCTTCAGGGGAGAGAGCTATATTATCATAGTAGTCCTGTGATTTCATAGTGTGGTAGAACTCCCGGTGGGAAAACTCCCTTCAATGACAGACGTCAGCAACTCATCTATAACTTATGTTAGAGAGCTGCTGAGGGCACTAACAGATTGAATAACTTGCAAAAGGTCCTATGGCTAGTATACATCAATTGTAGAACACAAATGAGCCCAAATTCTTCCGACTCCAGGGCCAGCTCTCTAGCCTTAATGCTTTCCTGCCTCTAATTGAGAGTTCAAGATAACACTAAAAAAAATAAGAATTTGGAAATATAGTGTCAAATACATTACTGAAGCATGGTGTGGAAAGATTATAGGAAGTGGGTTGCTAAGCGTGAGAAAAAGAAGTGTTACCTTTTGTTACACAATTTAGATATGCCTTCACTTGAAATTCAGTTCATGAGTTAACATCCAGAACTTCAGCTGACTGATGGTTGCCTTTGTCTCCCCACCCCCTCCTCGAATGATCTCCCCTTCTAATCTGCTACTGTGAAAAACAGCTCAATACGGGTCTACGATATGATGTGTCAAAGAAGCCGATGCTATCCAAGACTTTGTCGAAAGAACATTGGAAATAGTCCCCAAGTACTCTGACCCTATAGGATCACACCCAGAGCATTGAGTTCAGTTTTAGGCTTTGTTAAAGTACATTTACAGACTGTAGTGAATCCAGAGAAGGAGGACCAGGATGGTGAGGGGACTGGAGAACATACTGTGCTAGAGTTAGTTCAAAGAAATGAAGATGTTTATCATGGAAAAGGAATGACTTGGGAGTGGTAAGGGTTATCATGTAAAAAAAGGGATAAGAATTGTTCTGTTGCATCTCAAAAGGCAAAGGTTACTCTGGATCCTACCTACCTTTCCAGGTTGGTTGTGTATTACTCTCCTTCATTCATTTTCTGTTATACATAAACTTGCCTTCATTATACTACCCACACAAGACATTCCATCTCTCATCTCCATTCCTTTGCACAAACTGTCCCTTATGCCTGGAATGTGCTCCCTCCTTATCTCCACCTTATGGAATCTCTAGCTTCCTCCAAGGCTCAACTCTAGTGCACCTCCTACATAAAGCCAATCCTAATTCCCCAGTTACCAGAATATCCCCTTCTCTCCAATTACTTTGCATTTAGTTGTACTTCTCTACTAAGTACTTCTCTGTGTACCTGTTTCCCTCATTCCTTGAAGGCAAACACTGTATTGTTTCTCTTTGTACCTCCAGCACCTAACATAGTGTCTGACATGTAGTAGTTGTTTCATAAATGCTTATTGAAGGAACAAACTAAGAGTAAATGGGTAATAGTTGCAGAAAGGTTTAATGGGGTTTTTTTTTGGGGGGGACTTTCTAATAATTTGAACCATCTCAAAGTGGAATGAGTTGCCTTGAGAGGTAGCCAGGCTTCATTAGAAGTCTTCAAGTGAAGGCCAGATAACTACTTGTTAGATATATTATAGAGGAGATTCTATCCCAGTAATAATATGTTAAATTAGATGACTTCTGGGGTACACCATCTCTTAGATTGGAAGACCATGAGCCTCTAGTCATTTGTTGTTGTTATTCAGTTGTTTTTCAGTCATATCTGACTCTGTAACCCTATTTGGGGTTTTCTTGGGAAAGATACATAAGCGGTTTACTATTTCCTTCTCTACATCATTTTGCAGGTGAGGAAACTTAGGCAAACAGGGTTAAGTGACTTATCCAGGGTCACACAGCTAGTAAATGTCTGAGGCCAGATTTGAACGCAGAAAGATGAATATTTCTGACTTCAGTCTTGGCATTCTATCCATTGAACTCATAGACACTTCTAAATCTTCTCCAATTCACTACAGGTAAATTTAGGATGAAAGCTGGGACAGAGCTCTTAATTTTTAGCATGGCCTGGGAAGGGAGGCATGTACTAGGCACTGTGCTAAGCACTGGGTTACAAAAAAAGGTAAAAGAAAGGATGAGGGGAGAAGTTCAAACAATGGATTTGTATTCTAGAAGGGAAAAACCAAGGAAGGAAAATTGAGAAGTAGGAAGGGAATGGAAAGAGAATGGGGATTCACATTGTAAAGACTCCTTTTCTCACAAGCTATTGATTCACCCAGGAAATAGTTGTGGAGCTTTTCTATAAGCAAGCTATAGATCTGCACCTATTTTCTTGACCCCAGAGAGAGTTTTGCTGTACCACATTACTTCCATTATTTGAATAACTAAATTTCTCAGCTCTCAACTAATTAAGAATTTCAGCTGTGCTATTTGCTACCTGAGTGGTCTTGGGAAGTCATTAAACTTCTCTGGATCTCAGTTTTCTAGTCTGTACTATGAGGGGTTAGACTAGAGCTTTGAGGTCCCTTCCAGCCCTAAATTGAGGAAACAAAATGCTGCTTTACATATGGATTATTTCATTTGCTTCTTACAGTAATTTGTTATTGTTTTTTCATTTATTTCAGTCATGTTCAACTCTTTGTGACCCCATTTGGGTTTTTTTTGGCAAAGATACTGGAGTGGTTTACTATGTCCTTCTCCAGCTGATCTTACAGATTTGGAACTGAGGCAAACTGAGTTAAGCGATGCCCAGGGTCACACAGCTAGTAAGTGTCTGAGACCAGATTTGAACTCACAAAGATGTGCCTTCCTGACTTCAGGTCCAGCATTCTATCAACCACCTAGCTTCCTGCAGATGAGGAGATCAAGTTGCTTGCCCCATGGTCACACAGCTATCATTAGCAGCAGGCTTTGATCCCAGGTATCTCCTGAGTTCAAGCACAGTGTTCTTTTCATTACACAACACTCTTACTACTCAAGTAATTACGTTTTCAAAAATAACCACATTTTAAGAAGAACCCAGAACATTACCTGATATGAGATTTTTCCTTTTCTCAAGGCATTTCACATATAATATTTAATTTGATATGCATAACAAATCCTTGAGGTAGATGGGGGAGCAATTCTTATCTTGATTCAATGAATGAGTAAATGGGTTCCTCTGTTCCTTTGTCTATAACTTGCCAAATGGCACACAGAGAATGCCAGTGGCAGAGTGAAATTGGCATCCAGGTACCTATCTCCTATTTCAGAATCATTTCCACGATGCTATACTACTTTTCTCATCACCAACTTATTACAAGCCCTAATTTGGTTCTTTTCCCAGACAATGTCCAGGAAAACTCTTGTTGACTTGTGTTTTACAAGTTCCTAGGATAAGACATCATTAAAATAAAACTATTTTTAACACCTCTGCCCATGAGTTCATAAAATCAAATTTCCATTTGAAAGTCACAGATTCCTTACCAGCCCAGTGAATACATCAGCAAATGTCAATGCCTACAAAATAAATGAAACAAATACAAAAAACTCCTTGCTTTACAGCTATGTGTGTTTTTGTTGGCACAGAGCACAGGCCATGGAAATTCCAAGACTCTGATATAAAAATGTAAGTTTGCCTATGATTTGCCCAGTTAGAGAAAAAAAACGAAACTTGTGGTGAATATCCTGTTTTTAAGCTCTTGTTTATGAAGCCTGTTTTTGTGCCAGGACAAATAGTGTTGAGACTGAAAGATTAAAATGCTAAAAGGGAATTTGGATCCACTGTTGCTCAGGAGACAGAAGCTATTTTCTTAAAAACCCCTAAATGAGGCAGCCCCTTGTCTTGGGAATAGCTGGAGACTCAGAAGTAAAAACCTGGGCTCTAGTCCTGGCCCCAGAACTAAGACCCTGGGGAACCTTGGGCAAACAACTTTACTTCCTTGGCCCTGTTTCATCATCTGTTAATCAGGAAGCCTCAGGGTAAGAGAGGATTTCAGAGGCCATCCATATGGTCTAATCTGTAGCTTAGTGCAGTATGGAAAAAGAAACAGATTTGGAGTTAAAGGGTCTAGGTTTAAATCCTGACTCTGTCACTGGCTACTGTGTGACCTGAAGAAAATCACTACCCCGTTTCGGGCCCGAGTTTCCCAATTTGCGAAACTTTTTGGTCCCAATACCCCTTCATACTCTTGAACCAAAATTATTGAGAACTTCCCTGAAAAAGAACTTTTGTTCATATACTGATATTTACCATATTAGAAATGAAGACATCTTAGTATTATTATTTTAACTTTACGAATATTATTTTTCCCAGTTCGTGTAAAAACAACTTCTAACATTCTTTTTTTATTGTGTGTTTCAAATTCTCTCCCCTCCCCCTCATTGAGAAGGCAAGCAATTTGATATAGGTTATACATGTACAATCATAAAAAACACATTTCCATATTAATCGTTCTGTGAAAGAAAACATAGACACCCCCCCAAAAAAAGAAAAAAATAAAGTGAGAAATAGTATTCTTCAATTTGCATTCAGACTCTATCAATTTTTTCTCTAGAGGTGGATAGCATTTTTCATCATGAGTCCTTTGGAATCGTCTTGCATCATGGTCTTGATCAGAGCAGCTAAGTCTTTCACAGTTGACAATCATATAATATTTGTTGTTACTATGTACAATGTTCTGTTGGTTCTGCTCATTTCACTTTGCATCAGTTCATGTAAGTCCAGGTTTTTCTGAAATCATCCTGCTCATCATTTTTAAAGCATAACAGTATTCCATTACAGTCATATACTACAACTTGTTTAGCCATTCCCCAATTGATGAATATCCCCTTGATTTCTAATTCTTTGCTACCACAAAAAGAGATGCTATAATTTTTTTTTGTACAAATAGGTCCTTCTGGTCTCCCCCCTTTTTATGTCTTTGAGATACAGACCTAGTAGTGATATTGCTGGATCAAAGGATATGCTCAGTTTTATAACCCTTTTGGCATAGTTCCAAATTGCTCTTCAGAGTGGTTGGATCAGCTCACAACTCCACCAACAATGCATTAGTGTCCCAACTTTCCCATAACCCCTCCAACATTTATGATTTTCCTTTCTGTGATATTAGCCAATCTGATAAGTGTGAAGTGTTTAGTATTAT